AGTTTATTCCACATAAACACAGTTCTTCAAATGAAAGAGTTCTTAAACAGTGAAGTTCGAAGTGTACAGAGATGAACTTCGTAATGATGAGCAGCCACATTTCACCACGTATTTCTTATATGTACTCTCGGTTGAATCAAATGTGCCAAGTCACTTGAATACTTTTTTGAAAGTATCTATAAAAGAGAGACAAATCTCCAACCTTCTTTCGATGTTCCTTACTAACAAGGCTGCAAGTGTGTCTCCAATTCATTCGTGTCTCAAATCAGGTAGATGGCTCTTTCCTGAATGGAATCCAGCACCTTCAGGGTATGCTTAGGGGTAGAGCTTCAGGTCTGATCTGAGCTTTTTGAAGCATCAAAAGTTGCTGAGGTTTATACATTTTTCTGATTCGGTACGGTGTTCTGAGCTTTTGTGAAGCAGTTTTTGCAACTCCATTCCAACCCACAACAAACTTATCTAAGCAGATAGCGGAATTGTCTGTCTCCGGTTTGGAACATTCATCTTTTTGAAGAAAACTCATGCCTGGGTTTTTGTGGCATTGAGTTGAACCTGATTACTTCCACCCCAATTGGAAATCACCTCTAGGTACCCATTAAGATATCCAACCTCCTGCTGCCGATGAAGATGTGCATCCGCAGCCGATGTCCTGAAATTATTTGGAATTACGAGACCTTTACTTAGAGCCAGTTCAAGTATTACGTAAACACTACTTACTTTGCTTGATGCCATAGGGGGCAGGGAGATCTAGATGGTGATTGCGTCAGCAGTAGTTATTTTCGAGACGTTTCTCGAACTTAAAAAGTTTCAAGCATCGGCTAAAACTGACCACGGATTGGTAAAATACAACAATTTGAATGACATGATCCCGATGCAATGTTTTTAGCTACCAATGCTCCCTACAGAAGTGTGTATAACAGAGTAGGGCGCAGAATAGCTTCTCTGAGTTGTGAACTGGCTGGTTTGATATTGCCTCATGACCATTTTGTGTCTCTTCTGGATGAACATGTGTTACAATTGATGAACATCTAGAAAGATCAAATTTCGAGTTTGATTAAAATGTGTTGCTGAAGTATGGAGTTCAATAAAAAGTGAAACCTATATGTTACGGCATAATATGTTGGGCCGGGCGAGCAAGTTCTTCCTGATTTCTCAAACATTAAATGGTATGCAGAACATGTGCGTGACAGCCACTACTTGTTACAAATTGTAAAATATAGGAACATAGAATGCTGTTGTCTAAAAAGTGGCATATTCATATTACTAGACAACATGTGTTACCAGTAAAAGTAAAACAAACAGTTGATGACTTGGTTTTGGATAATGGAAGGCAAATTCCCAATCTTTCAATAACTTTAGCTCTAGGCTTAGATGATTCACTCAGATTTCCTGCAAATGCCTAACGATTATTTTTGTCCAACGGTAAAATTGAAGCTATCAAGTAAAATATACAAAATGTGTTTGTGGTCTTCATCATGTTTCCATCAAGTCTTCAAATCGTCACATTGAGAAGATCCATAAAAAAGTAAACACGCACTCTGATGTCAAAGTTAGGCATATAAGAGTCTCTCGCTGTTCGTTGTGCTAATGAAATGATGTGCATTATTGATAATTTAGCGGACGATGATGTTGAGTGACTCGATGAGAACGACGTAGACATTTCAAAATCGGATGAAAGTGAGCAACATTGAGCAGCAAATATTCAATGTCATTGAAAATTTAAAATCATGGAGTCAGATGTCATGGACTGAAGACTGTTCATTGGAATCAATACGTATACAAAAAATTTCAAAGAAGTTTTTTTGTTCGTAATATTACTCAAGATTATAATATTTGTACTTTACTCTTTGTTGAATACCGTGTCAATAACGTTTGTTTAAATGAATACTATGTGAGTTGACGTGCTCTATCATAAATATATTTTTCTTTTTCTAGTATTATAACAATGTTTACGTAAGCATGGGTGGGGGGTAAGAGCTTTGCTTACTTCTGCTGATAATGGGGATAGAGGGGGGTTATTATTTGTAATAAATATGCTTGCGTAATATTTGAACGGCCCCTCATTTGAATTTCGATAACCACTTGTGGAGGCATTCCATGTACGCATTAGTAGTCTCATCCTTTGTATTACGCATATGATACTTGTTTGTCCAATCTCATATGTTGATCTATAACAAGTCCCAGATATTTGATGGATACTATTTCTTCTACAACTGGGCATTTACAACTGAAACTAGTCGTGCATGTTATTTTGTGCAATTTAAGTTCATTAATTTGTGGCTGATCATCTGCATTCAGCGAAAAATCCATAAATTTTGTTTTTTTAATATTCAAACTCAATGAATTATTATTCAGCCAGAGAATAATTTTCTTCAGATTCATTTCAGAAGTTTTATTGACTTCATATCATCTTTTACCAGTGAAGATCATGGCCGTATCATCAGCATAACACACTATATGACCGTAAAATTCATTAATCTGTGTTATTGCGTTTATGTAAACAAGAAAAAGGATCAGGCCAAGTACTGTGCCCTGGGGTATACTCACATTGATTTGTAATGTTGCACTTAGCTTGCTACCAATTTTAACAGTTTGAGTCCAGAGTCCAGAGCATGACCTTTAATCTTCGGTATCATCGTGTCCGCGAAAAGTTAATTCTTGGGGAAACAAATGAATCATATTTTTCAATTCGACCAATTTTTCCTAACCCCATTATCAAAAGAAATTATGGCTTTTTTTTCAGCTGTATCTAAAGCTGTCGCTATTTATTGTTTGCTGAACAATTTCAATTTAGGAGACGAAAATATATGCTTCTTAGATTTAAAATGTCTTTCTGTAGAACGAGGTAATTTTTTTTAATCGGAGTATCCTATTTAAGACCACGTTTGGTATTCGATTTGTACGGAAAATAAAACACAGGGCCAACAAAAAAGTTTTTCTCTTTCAATGGAGCCGGTTAACCAATCGCATTTATCGTACCAACTAACATTAAATCCTTGATTTGTCGATTATCTGACGCTTCGATTGAAAACAAATTCGGTTGAGGCCTTCCCAGTGTTTAAATAATGTAAAACTCATCTATAATAAATGCAGAAAAAAACTTACCGAAAAGTGAAAACCTGAAAACACTTCGCAATTGAAAGAAAACACTTCAAAAACACATCAAAAATATTACCAAAAAGCACTGCTATAATACAATACTGCCTGTTTTATACACAAATAACAAATATTGTCAGGAAACACTAAAACGATTTAACGAAATATTTTTCAGTCCCGGTTCGTCACAGCATCCCTTCCGAATAATGAAATAAAAAACAAACGCAGTCGTACACTAACGGAGACCAACTAGAGGCTAGCCTCCTCTAACGCTATAATTTCTGCAACTGAAATTACAAATCGGGACGTATGTCGCTGGTTGGATTGGTCCCGCGGAGCTTGTGTTTTCAAAGCGGTCGGGGGCTTGGCTTCCTTGCAACGTGTAGCATTTATTATTTCGGGTTGATGGTTTATTCATTATTCGTTCATGGGCGGTGCGTTTGATTTTTGTTGATGCAGGATACAGTATGTTACGTACTACGTAATGAGTGATAGTGTTTTTCAGATATATTATGTAATTATATTGAAAATTAATGGTAAAGTAATGATACCTAAGCATTAAAAAAATAATCATGATTATTTGTCAATATCTTTCAATTGATTGCGATGAATAGCCTCAAATTTTATGGGAAGGCTAAGCCTCTCTTGCCTCCTCTCACGAGCCGCCGCTGGGTAATTCAGTCTAGGTTGAATTGAACCACACAGAAAGGATGGATATGATTCTCAATTCATAGGGTAGAAGCAAAAATATGTTAATAAATTGCCAGTAAGGATAAGTATGATTACCAGATCGATCGTTCCTTAAATAGTAAGAATTGACAATTTCCATATTTTCCAAAAGATCAAGTTTTGAACGTCAATTCTAGAAATAAAGAGTTCAGAATTCTCGTATTTTGTGGTAAATTACTCATAACCAACTACAAAAACTAAAATAATAATAACAACAGCGAATAAACAAATCAATTTTCGACCGTTCATTATAACTAATTTGATGTCAGTGGTGCCGTCAAATCCTTCGATACTACAGCACTGAACGCGATGGACGATAATCTTATCCTAAGAGCGGTTGAAGGTTTCCGGCAACTCGGGCGAATAACGTGGTAAGATAGCCTACTGGTTGTATTATTCTACTGTCTCTATTATCATGAGGTTGTAGAGAGTATCTCTCTTCTATGATTAGAATTAGTATCAGAGAATAGTTCGTGTATTTTATGTGGAGTTCAAAGCATAAATCCCAATTTATCTTCCGTTTTCCTTTCCATTCGAAACATCAACACTGCACTTATGAAGCCACGCAATACCGATATAGGCTCAGACCGCCTTCACTAGATGTGTTCTTAGCAATTGCATAACGGTTTCAGGTTACTTTTGACGGTCCTACACCTCCCCCACAACTCGACCTAGACCTTTAATGGCATCACACGACCTTGAGCGCTGTGCATGTCATTTGACGTCGTTGAATGATTCTACACACGTGTCGAGTTTTAAAATAAAACGGTTTGGTGTTGGTATAAAACTCATTCGAGTTATTGTCTACATTGGTAAGAGGTCGAATTAAGGATCCGGTTGAGGATAAAAATATGTGTTACCGCTGGAATATTGTCAACACCAATAAATGCCAGATTGAGAACACATTCTGCAATATCATGATTGAAGATGAGGAATAAATATGAAGTATTGTTACGAGCCATATCCCTCAACATTCCCGAAATAACTGGTTGAGAATAACTCAGATCCAGATTAAAGAAATTTATCATTTCCTAATTTCAAACTCTTCTCAATGAGATATTTGAATTTCATACGATTGATTATTTTTCACTAGATTATACTCGTTTTTGCCAGCTCACCACTCGAATACCTTCATTTTCCTGTAGAAAGGTTTTCAATAACTCGTTTCATTTCAGGTTGTCATTTCTATACCCTCATTTGGACCTAGAGATTCTGAAGCAAGCAATGATCTCACCACAGAAGACGATGAATACGATGTACAAAATGTCACTGTTCCTGTTACAATTTGTTTGAGTATAATGGTGGGGTAAGTAGATGATATCGAGCAATGCTTATCGATATGTGATGAATATATCGATAGATGTCAATTTCCAATCAGAAATAGCAATAATTCAATACTAGAATATAGGAAAAAGTAAATAACTCATGTCTGATTTGTTTTCATTTGTTACGACCGGTTTCGGTTTATCAAACTACTCTCAAGTACCTATATGAAAGTAACTTGAGAATGGTTCATTAAACCGAAATCAGTCGTAACGAATAAGAAACTCAGCAGGAATCAGACAAAAGTTATTCATTTTCTTTATCCTATATTCAATATGAATTTCTACGAAATAAATAGGCCATCATACGAACGAATTCAATACTTGTCAAAAACGAGAATTATTCACACACTCTGTTTAAAAATCAGATCTTTGTGACCTTTTCACTGTGAAAAACCTCACAGTCAACTGTAATAGATAGCTGTACTACAATGAAATTATGCCTTGAGAAAAAATTTGCCACGTCTCATACAAAATATTCTTCATGAAGGCATCAACTTCGCAGTATTTGAAACGCTGAATATCAATTCATTCGAAAAAGCTGATTTTATATCGAAGTCCTGTGTTATAAAGTTTTTAATTCTCTACACTGAATCTTATGGTATGATATTAACAGTTGCATTTCGTAAGTTTGGACTTATGTGATATATGACTAATATGATATAAATTGATTTGAAATCCCTGAAAGAATCTATGAAAATTGAAGAGATTACCTAAAAAATAACATCAAGAAAACTTGATGATTTGGTTTTTATGGACGAAAGTGAATTTGATTGTCTATTCCGCCAATAGACTGAGATACGACTGATATCAGAACATTAGTTATACAATTAATTGTGTATTCGAAGAGAATCAAGTACTTGGTTGTACAGAAGCTTGAGTAAGTGTATATTTTTCAAAGAAGACACAGACTAATCGCATTCGACGGTGGATGTGAAAGTTTGGCTTTGCAATAAATTGTTTCCGCGAATCCGTTTATTATGTGATTGGTCATCGCCTTCACTTACTCAGGATCATTTTCGAAGAGAGAAGAAACCAGCAATGTATTCTTAGTTCGGTTCAGCGCATTGATGAGAATTTGAATCAAAATAGCACTTTCCGGAACTGGCACATGAATGTTCCAGTTTTGGACTCTGGTTGGACAGATGAAGCTTGAGGTGGCATATTTGTTGGGATAGATACTCGTTGATAATGGTGTTTTTTTTTTCATTTTCGCCTTTATCAAGGAATGAACAGTATTATTCAATAGTTTTGAAAAGCCAATCAAATAATTATTTTTTTCTGATAAATTTCAAAACGCCCTCTGAATGATCTCAAAAATAGGGAAATTTTTCTGATACAACCGAATCTCTATCTCATATTTCCATAATGACCTTCCATATCTTGGATATACAGTTAACACCATCATATGCGAATAAAAAAACATTATACTGAAAATCTTGAATGGTAATCATTGTAGCGAAATCAAAGAATATGATACAGATGCACAAGTTCATGAACAATGAAGACTCGAAATTAATTTTCTAAATTATCCTTTGAGTCATTCAAACGTCCCAATGGAACTTTTGTGTTGATGAATTGTCCAAGAAGAGACGTTTTCTCGGACTTTGAATGAGCTACTCCGTCTATCCTTATTTCCAATTTTGAATTCCGAATTGAATTCGGCAAAATAAGAATCATCAACATACAGAGCTAAATCATGACTCGATCCTGAAGGNATGGATATAATTCCTATCTGTAATGTCTAACCCGTTAATATTAAAGTCTCCCATGCAAATTATATTGTCAGACTGCGGCGCGACTATGGTTAGGCTCTCTTCAAGGTCATTTATGAAGTCAGAAATATTCGTGTTTGGAGGCCTATATATAACACCAATTATATAAACAGATGAGTTGTATTTAATTTCGACCCATAATTGTTCTATATTATCATGTATTTCGCTAATTTTGATTTTGAAACGAAAAGATTTCTTAAGGAAAAGTCCCACCTCTCCACCTCTAGTACCTCTATATATAGCTACATGAATAAATTTGTGAGAAGGTATTTGGAACATAGACACATCACAATTAGGTCTTAGCCATGTTTCAGATACTGCTAGATGTATGAACTCAGGGATATACTAACTGACTCTTGTTGAGTCAGTTATACGATATTGTATCACAGTGTGGGGTGGAATGTTTGAGAATGTGCTAAATACTGTACAGGTGCTCCAGAATACAGTTTTAAAAATAATGTTGAAAAAAACAGACAATTTGATACAGAAAAACTATTCTGAAACTAATCTGCTTGATATAAGAAGTTTGTATGCACATCAGTGTCTTATATGGATATACTCAAACAATATCAATATAATTTATTGATTGTTTGAATAAATTTGGTACTAAAATTTCTCGATTTTTATTTATATTTTGCTCATTCTCACGTTGAACAATTTTCCATGGCATTTACATAATCAGTATTGAATATGAAATATTATCCGCAAGACTCCCATCAGCAGCTGATTAAAAAATCGTGATACGTAAGTAGATCAATAATCCAGTTGANCATGTTCTTGAAATAACTTTTTCACATTCTCCGTAGATGAGAAATAAAGGGAAAATTGTACTTTATGGGATACTCACGGATTTTCGCGATTTTTTCTGTGATGATTCTACGTGATGGAATAAATTCAGAACACTTTCATTTTTTGTCGGACTCAATTATCATATTTGTGTCATATTTCACCTTTTTTTTAAGCAATACACGATTGCAATCCACATATTTTTCATTCAACACATCTTTTTCCATCCCTTTTCATTCACTTATTGCCAAGTTTCTTGAAATTAGATTCAAATTCCATAATTCGTCACAAGCTAACTCAACCTAACCTAACCCGACCTTACCTAACCCGACCTAACCTAACTCAATCTAACCTTACTTTAGAATTTTAAAAAACTATGTATCGAATGTATCCTCAACATCTAACCTGACCTCCAAATTCTTAAAGGAACGTATTTTCAAATATTTACTCTTGTAAAAACTATCTTTCCTCGACATCTAACCTGACCTCCGAATTCTATGTTTAACGAACGATTGAAACAGTTTTTCATTGCAAATGAAATCAAAGAAGAATGAATCAAACACGTAAAAAAGCAATCTTAATGAATACTTTGAACGAAGAGTGGTATGTTTTGCTGCGTAATTTATGCATACTGGACTTACCTGAATCAAAATCATCGACATTCTAACTGTGTACTTTTTCCCCGTTAAATCGTACTTTTCTGAAAGTTTAAAATCTCACAATGCTCGAAAAAGTATGAGTGAAAGTGTTTCTGAATGGGAAGCAAAGTTGAAAAGTCTTGCTACAAATTGCAAGTTCAGTGAGGAGCAATTAAAAATAAAAAAAATTTAAGTGTTGCGAGACATATTTGTTATTGGGATGGGAAACGAAAAAATTATGTCCTGTTTATTTGAGGAAGATGCATCAAGTGAAGCAGTAACGTTAGCTTCCGTTGTGAAAATAGCTTTAGCAAAGGAATTCACTATTAAAAAACAAGAATAAGTGCAGGTGGTAGCAGTGGAAGCCGCTAGAACGAATATCAAATTTGAAGATGTCCATTTCAGTCGTTCCCCGGAAAGTAGTAGGGTTCGCAAAGGGATAGCAGCAGGTTGGACAGGGTCTGCACAGTAAAATGTGCTTTCTTATGGAAGCGTTTCACGAGATTCAAGTAAGGGCTATGTATGTGGTCGATTAAACCATAAAAGTTACAAGTGTAGGTTCCGGAATAACAGTTGTTATAAATGCGGGAGCAAGGGTCACTTGGCACCAATGTGCAATCGTTCTAATGATAGACAAAATTTCATAAAAGACATAGAATCCTAACAAACTACCGAGTTTGTGTTTAATTTAGAAAATATCGAAATTAATAATAAAGGAAATGTAAAACCCACCTATGTTGAATTGATAATTGATAATAAACCATTTAGTTTTGAAGTCGACTCAGTCTTTGTGTATGCCGCAATTTCTGAAAGTTTATTTCAAAAACATTTCAGAAGTAAGTTACTTCAGAAAAATGATTTGTTATTAAGAGATTATGTTGGAATTTCGTTCGAGCCGTTAGGATATGTAGAAGTTGAAGTATTTTACGAAGGTAAAGCTCACATGTTGAAAATATATATTATTAANTCTCTGAGTTGCCTGGACATCAGAATTTTTGCAGGAGACTCCAAATTACTTTCAATTGGAGTGTTTCTATAAATTAATAAAGTTAAATATATATCTTTATTTTCGTATTTAGCTTTACGCAGCATATTTTTCAATGTGGCCACATGTCGTTCGACTAGCCCATTTGATTGGGGATACCTAGGGCTGGACGTGATATGAGTGAACTGCCATGCCTGTGAAAATTGTTTGAAATATAAACTAGAGAATTGTGGTCCCCCGTCGCTGACTAATATATTTGGAATGCCGTGGCGCGCGAATATGGATTTTAAATGCGTTATTACTTCTTTAGATGAGGTAGAATCTACTAGTTTTGCTATTTCAATGTATTTAGAGAAATAATCTACTACTAGTAAGTATGTTTCGTTGTCCAAAAAAAATAAGTCGCACACTACTTTTTCCCAGGGACGTTCAGGAACCTCATGACCTATCATTGGTTTTTTAATATTATTTCTTTGAAAGACCTTACATGTAATACAATTAGAAACTAAGTCCTCAATTTCTTTAGACATATTTGGCCAGAAAAAACATTCCCTAGCTCTATTTTCACATCTAGTAATTCCAAAGTGGCCATAATGAATTTTATTTAGAATTTCCTTATGCATTTGGTTTGGCATTATGAGTTTGTTACCTTTATATAATAGTCCATTTGCTTCGGTAATCTCGTCTTTGAATTTGTAATACCTTTTTACAAGTGGATCAGTTTTTTTATTGTTTTTGGCCAACCATCGTGAACATATTCCATTACAATACGTAATTCCAGATCGGTTAATGTATGTTTTTTGA